CAGCAGTGGTGGGTGGTTGTAGATGCCCATGAGGAAGATCCAGAGCGTGCCCACCACCAGCATGGGGGTGACGAGGAAGAGGCAGAGGCGGTCCAGGGTCCGGGCCACGCGGTTCCAGTTGTCCTTCTCCTGAGGAGGGAGCCGGCAGCTGGGCAGTGGGGGGCACAGTGGGCACAGGGAGCCCCCTCTTCCCCCCATCATGACCATGGCCCCCACCTCATTGTAGCTGTTTTTCTTCCGCATGTGCTTGACGATGAAGTTAGCATCGTCAACGACGGGTTTTACGTGCTCGTAGAGCTGGTCCTCGCCCGTGTCCAGCGGCACCAAACCTGGGGGCGAGGGGGGCAGTGAGACGGGCTCTGAAGGGCTGCCACCCCCAGAGACCCCCACTCTGCCACCCTTCCCCATGTCCCCACGGAGGGGCCGTGGCTCACGGGCAGGGGTGACACGGCTGGCCAGCCCGTGCCGCTCTGACTGCTTCTCGAACATGAGCTCGCTGCGGGACTTGACGCTGAAGTACTCCTCCGCCTTGGCGATGTAGCCAGCCGAGCTGCAGCGCCGGATGCACGGGGTGCCCACCGGGCTCTCAGCCGGCTGCGACATGCCCAGCAGGCGGGGCAGGCTCTCCAGGAAGACCTGGGGCATGGGAGAGGGTGTCAGGTCCCTCAGCCACCTCCCTGGTGCAATGCCACCCTGTCCCCACCTTCTGCCCCCAACCTGGGTGTGCAACCCCTTGGAGCGGCACAGATGGGACACCCCGATGCCATGCTGGGTCTGTGCTGTCCCATGCCCTCCATGGGGCACGGTGTCATGCTTGTACCCATCAGTTCACCCACCCCAGCCCAACACCCTGTTCACCTCTTTGACCCAGTCGGACATGATGTGGGTGCTGGGGGTGCGGAAATGGAAGTTGAGGACCACGACGCAGATCACCACCACGGCTGTCACCAGAAGCATGATAAAAAGCAGATACCTGTGGGGGGCATGGACCTGGAGCTGGCATTGCCACAGGGGCTGGGCATAAGCAGAGCTGCCCTCTGGCACTGTGGGGACCCTGTGATGTCCCCACTGCACCCGGTGCTGTCCAGGACTCACTTGCCGATGAGGGGGATGGCGTGGGATGTGGCAGGCAGGCGCTGGGAGATGAGCAGAAGGAAGACAGACTGGGCCAGGAGCACTGAGATCACCAAGGTCATCTTCTCACCACCTGGAAAGCAGGTGAGCTCAGGGCAAACCCGTCTCCAGGTCCCCCTCCCAGTGCTGGGATTGCCCTCCTAGTGTCCCACCATACAGTGACCTGTATAGGGTTTTCTATTATGGGGGTACCCCAGGTCCCACATGGGCTATCTTGTGCCCAGGTGTGCCCCCCTGCCAGGGTGCCTGGCTGGCATGATGGTGTCCTACATGGAGGTGTCCCAGTATCAGGATGTCCCCGTGCTGGGCATTGGGGTGTCCCCCTGTTCCAGGACTTGGTGCAGGTGTGGGACATGGAGGTGCCCCATGGGGTGACCCCCGTGCCTAGTGTGGGTGCCATGGGGCTCACTTACTGTCGGCGGGCAGGTAGAAGACAAGGATGGCCATGAAGGCAATGAGGATGCAGGGTGTGACAATATTGATGACATAGAAGAGCGGTTTGCGCTTGATGATGAGGTAGAAGGTGATGTCCTGGTGCTCGCTGCTCTCAGGGGGGTTGTCAGGGTGGATGTTCTTGCGGGCCGGGCGGTGGATGATTTCCCATTCTCCATTTTCTGCCGGGGCACATGGGACAGGACATGGAATGGGGGACCCCCGCCATGCCCATCCTCACCAACCCCACCAGCACCGGTCTCCCTGTCCTGGGTCTGGGTAGCTCCAAGCCTGGTGGGTCAGGTGCCAAAGCCCCGGGTACTTGGGTGTCTCCATGGCAGGGTCCCCCAATGCCAGGGTGCCCCTGAGCCCCGTACAGGGTGTCCCACTGCCACAGGACATGGCAGAGAGCACAAGTGTTACCTGTGAAGCCTTCAGGGTCGATGATGATCCACTCCACCGGGTAATCCTTGCCCGTCTCCGGGTCACTGTCTGTCTTCAAGTGCATGCTGATTTCCAGGGCACTGTATGCCAGCGAGCTGGCCGGCAACCGGAGGGGACAGGCAGTGAGGGGCTGCACCTGCTGCTTGGTACCCACTGCCCACCCACCCTGACCTCCAGTAGGATGGACTCAGGCCACTGAGTCACCTGCAACCCCCCACCTTGCTGTGCCCCAACAGCAAGGGAAGGTGCTGGCAGCAGTGGGCACCACAGTAGGCTGGGATGCCCACCCTGCTGCCCGCTCCTGCCCTGTCCTGCTCCGGCCAGCCCCCCCAGCACCTGAATTTGAGGGTGCAGTTCTGCCAGTCGAAGGGGAAGAAGTCGACATTGATGGGACAGGCACTGCGGAAGATGGCAGGCGGCAGCCAGTAGACATAGCCCGTGTTGTAGATGAGGACGTTGCAGTAGTAGGCGATCTCAAATAGCCCATCGTTGCTGTGCCAGGAGAGAGCCGAGATGATGGTGGGGCTGGTGATGGGCAAGGGGAGCCCTGGGCGCTCATTGGGCACAGCTCGGAGGGGTTTGGGAGGGGAAACTGATGCACAGCTCACTTGTTCTCCAGGACTATCTCAGGCAGCCACAGCATGTCTGGTGGCAGGCGGAGCACCTCGATGTCCCCAAACTCAGATTTGTTCCACTGCAGGCGGTAATCGGTCCAGCCCTGGCAGGGAGGATCCCCAGGTCAGCCCCTCACCATGCTGGGCCTTCCTGTTGCCCGTGTCTTGGGCACAACTGATGCCATGATGCCTGTCCCTACTCACATGCTCAAGCCATAGGTTGGTGGTGAGCGTCTCGTCCACCTCTTTCTGCAACAACAGTGTTGAGATGCCAGGGCCATGCCCAGCAGCCACTTCCCCCGCAGTCCAGGACCCCCAACCCTCACTACCCAGGGTCCGGGGCAGCAGCCTCAGGGCTCCCCCCACCCAGCCAGCCCTGGGGTTGAGGCCTGGCTGGGGGGCAACCCACAGTGGGCACTGCCCACTGGGTCTCACCAGCGAGATGAGGTTGGAGAGGGTGAGGGCCAGGTAGACATCCACGACCTGGTCGGTGGAGATGACGGGGCGCACATCCTTGTCGTAGCCCTTCTCCTCGAAGAGGTGGTGGATGAGTCGCTCCTCCTGGTTCACGCAGAGCCCGCCTGGGAGTGTGGGGTCAGGCAAACCAGGGGGGGCCGGGGCGGTTGCTGGGCCCAGTGCCACCCCACAGGGATGCTCAGTGAGGGCAGGGAGGTGTAAGGATGGAGGGGACAGGAGCAGGCCAGGACACTGCATGTCTGTGCTGCACAGGGGCAAGGGCAGGGGACATGCAGGAATGACGGACATGTGGGGGCACATGGGCACACGTGGGCATGGACACAGAGGGACACACAGATACAGACCCAGCATACACAGGGACACACAGACACGAGGCACTTGGGTACAGACACGGTGGCACTGTGCACATAGGTGGATGCACACACAGAGGCACAGCACACATGGACACGGACCCAGTATATGCAGGGACATGTGGTCATAGATGCAGTGTCACTGTACACACAGACAGGCACACAGACACAGTGACACTGTGCACAGACAGACACACACATACACACGGCCCCGGCAGGGACACGGCTCTGGGTAGCACAGCCAAGACAGAAGCACAAGGGATGCTCAGTGACGGGACTCTGCCAGGCAATACCCAAAATGCAGCCCTGGGGACACTTGTGCGCAGCTTGGACCCTGCCACCATCACCCCCCACTGACCCCATCGAGAGAACCCAGAACCCCCCAGCAATGGGGCAACCTCGTGCCCCAGAGCCCAGGACCCCGCTCACCCGACAGCACCAGCGCCCCGAGCAGGGCCAGCCGCCCCGGCAGGTCCCCCATGCGGTGCCCACGGTGCCCTCACGCAGTGCCAAGCCCTGGCTGCCTCCCCGCCTGGCCTGGCTGAGCGGATGTCCGGCTGCCGGCCGGAGCGGGAGATGGATGGTGCCAGGTGCCGAGGGGGAAGGGTGCCGGCACCGGATACCCGCTCCCACCCCTCTCTTCCGGCACCCCTGCGCCCAAAGCAGGGGAGACGAGCAGGCACAGCTGGCCTTGCCGGTCCAAGAGAGTCAGCCCATCACCTGGCACCTGGGCATCCCAGCACAGGCATTGCTGGGAACTGGGAGGAGCGGTCCCTTCCTTGCTGCTCAGCAGCCCCAGCGATGCTGCTTGGGGGCAGCAGGCTCCCCACGAGCAGGAGGGGTTGGTACCCACCGATGGAAAGCATGGGGGTGGCATGATGCCGGCTCTCACCACTGGCCCAGGGCACACTTGGCCCCGCCAGCAGGAGGTTTCATGTGGATCCCCAATGGGATAACACCAAGGGTGGGCACCGGTGCTGTGCTATAGGTGCTGTGGTGGGCAGGAGCAGGGGCTAGGGAGTCTGTGCCAGGCTGGGCACAGCACCGGTGCCAGGGGCAGGAACTGAGGCTGGGGACATCTCTTTGGGGTACAGGGGAATGGGAAGGGGGATGCGATGGGATGTCATATCCCCCATGGAAAGTTCCCCCTTTGGTGCCCACCTCACCGGCACCACACGGCACAGCACTCACTTCACACTCACCAGCTACCGGAAAATAGAGCCCTTTATTGAAAAATAAACCTTTCTCTGTACAAATAAATAACAGCCTGAGTGCCTCTAGGGAAAATGGGGTGGGGGTGGGCTTGCCAATGTGGGGGTCCCTGGGGAGAGGAAGGCTGTGATCCCAGGCTGAGATGCTTCAGATGCCCCCTGGCACCCCATTGCCCTGGGGAGGTCGGGCAGTGCTGGTGGGAAGAGGGAAACTGAGGCACAATGGCGACAAAAGGGTGGAAGAGCCTGAGCCAGGGAGGGGGCTGCGTTTGAAGGACATGAGGGACCCCTGCCCCCGTGCCCTGTCCCCATACTGGCATGGTGCACCAGGGGCACCTTTAGGTTTTCAGCGCCTCGAGTGCCAGAGCGACGAGGCCGGGCATGCTGCGGGCCAGTGAGTCGCTCTCCAGCCCCACGAGGCCAGTGAAGGCCGTGGGGCGGCCCCCCACCGTGGCCCGCACCTGCGCCCGGTACAGCCCCTTGGCGTTTTTGGAGCCCAAGTCCACCAGGATCTGCGGGGAGACAACACTGTGAGTCCCAAGGGAGGCAGGGGCACAGTGGGATGGGCTGGGGGGGTGGCACCACCTGGCTGCCAGGGTAGGGGGCTCAGAGTAGCTGGATGGCGCACTCACCTCCTGGAAGGTCATGGCCAGGTCTGGCTCGGGCACCCGCAGCACCCAGGCGTAGAGCTCCCACACCGCACCCACTCGCACCACCGACTCGTTGAGGCCAGGGCAGGCTGCAACCCAGGGGACAGGCAGGAGAGAGATGGAGGGAGGACATCAGGGGTGCGCTGAGGTGCGGGACGAGTCACGGGGGCACCATGCTGCTGCCCGCCCTGGGGAGGACCACCCATGCTCTGGGGATGCCGGGGGAGCAGGGGCAGAGGGTCCCTGTGGAGGGGGGGTATGGCCGAGGGCTGTACCACCGACGTGGAACAACCAGCCCTGGGACTGGGGTGCAAAGCTGAGGCCGGTCTTGCCACCATCCCCGTGGTGGCAATGGCATCCTGCAGCGGCCGGGGGCTTACCTCTGCCTGCGCCTGCCTCCTCCTCCTCCACCTCCGGCAGCTCCGTGGGCACCAGCTCACGTTTCTCCCTTGGCACTGACCCTGCCACCCAGAGAGGTGTGAAAACCCTGGTGGGGACGTGGCCGGTGGGCGCTGCCCAGGCACGGAGCCGGCCAGCAGATGGACACCCCGCTGCCCTATCGGCCCCAGCCCCCCCAAGATCCCAGCGCTCACAGCTCGGCATTGGGGTCCCCGTCAGCTCTCCGGGTGCTGTTTGCAGCTCCATGGCCTCAAGAGGGGTGCCAAGGTCCAGCTCCGCCCGCAGCTGGGCGAGGAAGGCTCTTCCTTGTCCCACCAGCTCCTCCACCACCTCCTCGCCCTGCTGAAGGGAAGGGGGAACAGGGTGGACAGTGGGGCACCTGTGGGCATGGGGAGGGGAACAGTGGCAGAGCGCAGGGCATGGCTGGGCTGGCATCGGATGGGGCACTGGGGACATGGGACATCTATGGCTGTGTTAGGTCAGATCCTAAGCTGTGGGGTCAGACCCATGGCTGGCACTGTACTGGTTGGACTGGGAGCACTGGTTTCTGCTGGGGAGGGTGACATGCCCCCTCTGTGGTGGCAGAGTGGGAGATGCACAGGGGATGATGGGCCCAAGGGATGTCAGGAGGGGACACAGGGGGATGCTGGGCTTTGGTCCCTGGTGGCACTGTCACCAGAGGGGCAGGGGGTCCCCCCAGCCCATCCCTTCCCAAATACCTGCAAGAAGAGCCACGTCTCCCCGGGGAGCTGCCCCTCATCCAGGGTGGGTGCCAGGGGTCTGCCCCCCACCATGGCCCTCAGCGCCTCCACCCAGTCCTGCAGCCGGGGCCCCACAGCCCTGAAGAGCCCTGCGAAGGGGGGTGGCTGCCCGGCCCCCCACCTGCAAGCACAGCAGGGTGAGCTCAGGCAGGTGCCCGGTGGCACCCATCCCCTGGGCAGTGCCACCCCATGCCCTGTTCACCCCTGGTGGCACCTGGATGGCCCTAGGTACCCCGGGGGGCCATGTCCACCTCCCTCCGCATGTGCCCTGGTTGCAGGAAGAGCAGGACTCCAGTGCTTTAGGCTGTCCCCAAAAAGCCATGTCAGTGCCCACGAGCGTCGTGCCCCCAAACCTTGTAGCCCCCTGTGCCCCATGGCCCACCATGCCTTACCTGGGGGGGGGTCTCTGGGGTCCTTCTGCTGTGGGGCTGGGCTGGCCCCCTGCCACAGCTGGGCCTGTGGGGACAAGAAGGGGACAGGAGGGACGAGAGGTAGGGGAGCCCCATGGGGGTGCCAGGGCAGGCTGCTGGTACCCCGGCCACCGGCATAGCGGGGACTGATGGGACCCCAAACGGGCACAGGGTGGCCCAGCCGGGAGGGTACCTGGGGCATCCCTGCGGACACGGGGTGGGAAGAGATGCCCATAGATCTTGCCCAGGAGCTGAGGCAGGGCGCGAGTGAGGAAGGAGAAGTCGAACTGGTTTCGGATGAAGTCCCCAGCCTGGCGCAGGAGATCCACCAAGGTCTGGGCGTAGGAGTGCAGCTCTGCGGGTGCAGTGGGAAAGCCATGGCCCCGGCAGTGCACCAGACCCACACCACCAGAAATGGGATCCCTACCTGCACCCTTGCCCCGGCACGACCCCCTGGCTCACCGCATCGTCTAGTCCTGGCGCGGCAGGTCTCTTCAGCCATGCGGGTGCAGGCGGCCCGGCCCTGGGGGGACTGACAGGACCCGGCATAGAAGGCACAGAGGCGGGCACGCTCCAGTGGCTGCCGCTCGGGGGGCAGCTGGGCCAGCGCCAGCAGGTCGAAGCAGCTCGGTTCCCGGCTGCCAGGGGCAGCTGCAAGGGCATCAGAACTGCCATGAGGTGCTGAACCCAGATCCGGGGCAATGTATCCCCACAGCACCCTGGGCATCTCCATCCCCCCCTCCCAATGCAGCTGGCGGCACTTACGGTCCATCTGGAGGCTGAGCCAGTCCACGAAGGCAGCGACACGGGTGTAGACGCCCGGTTTGCCCCGCTCACCACAGCCATCACCCCATGAGGTGATGCCATAGAGGATGAAGCGGTGCGAGGAGGGGTCCTGGCATGCCAGCGGGCCCCCCGAGTCACCCTAGGGGAGGATGCCTATGCATCAGTTGGAGCTGAGACCCTGACCGCACTGCTGGGCTGCCGTGCATGCCCAGCGCTGTGTGCCACAAGAGATTTTTGAGTTTTGGGTCTGGCAGCCCCCCAGCCCCAGGCGTTACCTGGCAGGAGTCGATGCCCCCAGACAAGTAACCGGCACAGAACATGGTGCTGGTGAGAAGGTCCCTGCCCAGGGCACCCTGGCACGTCTCCTGGCTGAGCAGGGGCACCCGTGCCTCCATCACCACATCGGCTGCTGGCCCCTCTGCTGGGCAAGGCACCCGTTATGGGGTCCCCTGTGTCCGGACACCCCTGTCTCTTTTGCATCCCCCTGCCCTGGCTTGGTGCATCGGCACTGGGCACCAGAGAGGCCACTGAGGGGGATGCCCCACAGATCCCACGGGTGTTGGGGTGGCACCTACCTTCATAGAGGGAGCCCCAGCCTGCGATGTAGCAGGTCGTGCCAGGGCTGGGCTCCGTAGGGCCGCTGGGAAGGCACACGGGGCTGACGGTGGGCGATGGGGCCAGCGTCACCGCCAGCTCCAGCAGCGCCAGGTCCCCATGAAACGTCTTGGGATTAAACTGGAAGGAGGTGGAAAGCTGTCAGTGGGGGGCCCTGGGGCATGCACAGGGAGGTCAGGGGGATGCCCACCTCCACTGACCTTGGGGTGAGGCAGGATGCGCCGGACGGGCACTGCTCGCTCGCCTGCACCCAGCTTGCCCAGCTCGTGGTCGCCCACCACCACTGTCCACGCCAGCTCATTCTGGTTCCTGGCGGGTTGGGGGGCAGCTAGTTACAGGGGTGACAGGGGTGCCACCCCATGCACCCCTCTGCAGGGACATCATCCCTAGTAGCATTACCATGCCCCCTGCCATACCCGGCAAAGCAGTGGGCCGCGGTGAGGACCCAGGAGCGTCCCACCAGCACCCCTCCGCACATCAGCTCCCCGTGGAGCCGCACCGACACCAGCCAGGGCCAGGCCCCCCGTGGGGCCACGCTGCCACCCATGATCCGTCCTCGGGGGGCTGTGGTGTTGGCTTGGGGTCCCCCACGGTGCCCGCAGCTCCCTGCGGGACAAAGCCGGGGTGAGAGGGGGGGTCTCGCAGCCCCGCTGCCGGGACACCCCCTATCCTGGGTGGGCATGGGGTGGATGGGCATGGCAGTGCTGGGATAACCGTGGTGGGCAGAGGGGGTGGCGGGCGACCCCCGGGGGGGTCAGGCCACGCCAGGCGCGCTGTCAAGCCTCATTGTGCTCACGGAGGCGAGCGGGCGGCGGGCCGGGGGCACCCTGCGGCCCGGCAGCTGCCGACGCTAACCTCTGCCCCCCAGCCCAGCAGGCAGCCGGGGGGCTGGGGGAGCCCGCCGGCGTGGTGAGGGGGTGGCGTGGGCGCTTCAGGGCTGCCCCGGCTCACCTGGCATCGCCACTTCTGCTGGTGCATCAGGGTCCGGGGCTGCAGCGGCCATCCCTGCGGGGACAGGCTGTGATGGCATGTGGGGGCACCCCCCACGATGTCACCACCATGTCCCTGCTGTTCCCAATTCCCCCGGCTCCTCTCAGTGCCCCCTAGATCCCCGTCATCCTGAACAAGCACTCCTGTCCCACCCTAGGTGTCCTTGTCACCCCCAATGCCTCGCTGTCCCCAGTTGCTCCATCACCCCCCTTGCCCCTTTCCTCCATGCTCCCCTCTCCCACCCCAGATTCTCCATCACTCCCTGTCCTCCACAATCTGCTCCATTGGTGCCAATGCCTCCATCCCCCAAATCCCCACATCTCACACCAGATCCCTCCATCCCCCTCCATCTCCTCATCCCACCAGAGATCCCCCATCATCCTACTGTACCTCCACCTCCCCAGTCTCCCCACCCCATCCCAGCACCCCCTGTCACTCCCAATGCCCCATATCCCCTCCAGGCAATCCAAGGCATCCCCTTGGGGATGCCCCATTTGTTATTGTAGGGTGTCCCTTCTCTGGGAAGAGTCAGGGCCGATGCGGGTGCCCACTCACGGCACTCCTGGAGGCGATGGCGGCAGAGTCGGGCACTGAGCTGGGCGCAGGCATGCTGGGCCCCCTCAGGTGGGCACAGGCGCTGGTAGGGGGCACAGGCCTGACTCAGTGCCCAGTTGCGCTGGGGCAGCTCGGGCAGCGCCTGGGCATCCAGCAGGGCCTGGCAGCTGGGTGGCACGGCGGGGGGCACGGCCAGCGCTGCAGGGACAACAGGGCTGTGGGCATCCCCACATCCTTCCTGCCCACCTCTGCCGAGGCCACCGCGGGATCCACTTTGGGGCAGGTGGGAAGGGGGCATGATGGGGCTGCGGTGTTGGCGTGTCTTGGTAGGGCCTCCTGGGTGTTGGGATATGTTTTGGGGGGGGATGTCTGAGAAGGAGACAAGGCAATGCTTTGGGTAGGGCTCTAGGTGATGTTTGGGTAGGATCTAGAGAGGATGGGGAACTGCTTGGTAGGGTCTCTGGGTGGTGTTTTGGTAGGGTCTCTAGCAGTTAGGGATATGTTTTGGGAGTCTGGGTGCTGTTTTGGTAAAGCCTATAGGATAAAGCCTATAGGGGAGGGGGTACAGTTTGGGTAGGCTCTTGGGGTGTCATTTTGGTAGGGTTCCTAGGGGATGGGGTGGTGCTTTGATAGGGACCCAAAGCAATATTTGGGTAGGGTCTCCCGGGCATGGGGTGGTATTTGGATAGGAACCCCAGGCAGCGTTTGGGTAGGGACCCTGGGCAGTGTTTGGGTAAGCAACCTGGGCTCTGTTTGGGCAGGGTCTCCTGGGGATGGGGCCATGGGAGTCAGGGGTCTGTGACTCACGTGGGCAGTAGCGGGTGAGGTTGGCACAGGGGGGGAAGAGGCAAGGGGCACAGAGCCCACAGGCACCCTGCTGCCGTTGCTGCTCAGCCAGCGCCCGCTCCAGCGCCAGCAGCGCACTCCTCAGCGCCGCCTCCAGCACCAGCGTCCCCCGGCTCGACAGCGCTGCCAGGCACACGCAGGGCACTCAGACCCCCGGTGCCCCCACCACTGCCTCCCACCACTGCCACGGGGTGCCCCCAGCCCAGCCGGTGCCCATGCCCCGATGTCTTCGTGGTGGGAGTCAGGCTGGGCATGACCTGTCACCTGTTGGCATTGCCTAGGTGCCTAGACAGGCATGACTGTCACCTCCCCGGTGGGGTTGGCACATGGGCACATGGTGTGGGGAGGGTGTTTGCCAGGGCCTGTGTGTGTCTGCTGCACGTGGAGACCCTGTGAAACACACACGTGCAAGCGTGGGCATGGAGCAGGGTGTAAGCCTGGGCAGGTGTGCCCCCGTGTGTCCCTGTGCATGCACCTCTGTGCCCGCGCCCTGGGAGCTCACTTGCGTGTGCCAGGGTCCGGGTGCCCGTGTCTGCATGTCCCTGCATGTGCCCATGTGTGTGCAGTCCTGCGCGTGCCCTGTATGTGCATCCCCACGTGTGCCCGTACCTGTGCACACCTGTACCCACCCACAGCCCCCCTGCTGCTGGCCATACGCTGGCAGAGGGTCCCCTGGGGCTGGCACAGGTACCCGGGGCAGGAGAGAGAGCTGGCGGCCGTGGGACATGAACTACACCGCTCCCCGCAACCCCTGTGGTCCCCTAGTGCCACAGGCAGCACTTGCCACCCGGTCCAGGCAGCACGGGCACGCCTCGGGGACCGGGGGTCTCTGCCAGTGACCCGGGCATCCTGCTCGCGCTTCCCCCCCTTCCTGAGAATGAACCCAGGAGTCCTGGCTCCTACAGCCGCCCCGTCCGCAGCCAAACCCTCCCGCAAAATGCCCCCGTCCCCTTGCTCCACTGACCTTGCAGGACACCGGCCGGCATGGGGTACAGCCCCTGGCCCAGGGGGGCCCCCCCCGCCAGCTGCAGCAGCGGCAGCAGCGGCAGCAGCACGGGGGGGACCAGGCAGACCCCGGGGAGAGCGCCCCGTGTTCTCTTCCCTCCTCGCTCCATCCCCGGGCGGGCAAAGGGGGGCAAGAGGGGGGAGCCCCCGAAATGCCCGAGGCGGGCGAGGAGGGATGGATATATACAGTGCCCCCCGGGCGGTGGGAGGAGAGAGGGGCCGGGGGAGCACAAACAGGCGAGTTCATTAATGTCGCGCCAAGATGCCAGCTCGGGGCGGGGGGCGCGGGGGGGGCGCAGCCGGGGCCTCAATGCCGCCTTTGTTCGACGGGGCCTCCGGGCGGGCAGCATCAGACGGGCGCTGCGCTTCGGCGCTGCCCGCGGCCCTTGATCATTTTCACGCCAAGCCCCGGCCGCGCCA